TATTGGAGGTTATGGTTATGGCTAACGAGGCCTCGTGGCAGCAGCAAGGAAACCTTCAGTGCCCAAAGTCCCCACACCGTGATCAGCATCTGGCAGCCTCGTGTGCTGTGCCAACAGAGAAGATGTGAGGTCCTTGGCTTCACCCACTCACAGTGTAAGATGACTGTGGGGAAATTTTTAGGCAGCTTTTGTCAGTTGGTGTCTGCTGACAGAGGGACAAGACAGCTCCCCTGGGCAGGATGCAAACCCCAGCCAATGAAAAGCATAGTAAGAAATAAGGACAAACACCCCTGCAGTTTGGATGGTTAGATATTTGGGCACCTTATCAGTAGATGGATTTCTCCAGGCTCCATTGGTAATTATCACTGGAAATAATAATGACCGGAATGACAAAAGGCTGAGGATAGATTGGAGGTTTTATACAGGATGAAATGAAGACACGCAGCTAGTATGTCTCAAGTCTTGCACTGAGTTAGTTAACCAATTACAAACTGGTTAAAGAATAAATTCACAGCTTCAGCAGGAGGTGGAGACACTCTTGGACTCACTGAAGTTCTTCTTCACAGTTTGTGAGGCCTATTTATATTCCCATACACAAATAATTAGACTATAAGGGTTTGGCTTAGCTAGTAAAAAATTGTTAGCAATGTACATTAAAGAAAATCATACTTTGCACATATGAATAAATTTTTATCATGTATTATTAGCATGCTTTCTTATAGATAAGGGTTAGAAGCTGCCATTAGGCATGAATAAACAAAACTAATATTTAGAGCACCATATCCTTCGTGAAGATCAATTAAAAGAGCTTTTAAAGCCTGATCAGTGTATTTAAGCAGTTCCATTAACTGACTTTATAATGCCTTTTGACTGATTAGCTTTATTCATGTATGCAAAAGTAGGGTGTGAACAGCTATGGGCAGCTTAACATTTTTCCCCCCACATGAAGTTCTTAGGGGAAACTATTTGTCAAAGAGTTTTTTGCCTGACTGTTTGGTCTCCAGCACTTTCATAAGTGGCTCCTTGTTGGGATGTAATGTGCTACAACTGCTGTTCATCAACCAGGTGAAGAAGAACACAAAAAAACTGAATGACCATAACCCTCAGAGTCGTATTAACAGTGTGCATGCTTTCTTTGAATGGGAGCATTGCTTTTCATAAACTTCCTTTAAAATGCTCTTCATACTTTTTCTTTTCAGTGGTGTGCAGTAGGCTGGCAGTGCCGTTGCTGCTGTAGTGCTGAACCCCACCCGGCCAAGGGAGGAAACAGTCTCCTCCCTCCCTGACCCTGTCCCTGCCCCTGTCCCAACCTGCCCGTGCCACCACACACGACTGCACCCACGAGCAGCTGAGCCCATCAGAGTGCTGTGGAAGTGAGTGGAAATGGCATATGAAGACAGGCAAAGTCAGCTCACTTTGCTCTGTAGGCAGTGGTTAGACAGGCATATCCAGGTTAAAAAAAATGTTCATAAATTTACCTACACACGGCTTAAACCCCGGCCTGCTGATTCATTTAAGCACAATGGAGAAGTGGGTAGAGTAAGGTAAGGTAAGGAGGAAACACAGGACACGGTGGGTGCAGGTCAGCAGGAGAAACCCTTCTGTGCTCTGAGGGATTAAAGTAGGGAGAGATGCAGCCCCAGGAGCATCGACTGGTACAGGAGCCAGCTGTGGGGAATAGTACACAGCTCTGGCCACCTGCTTAATTTGTTAGCTGCTGATGCTGAAATGTATCTAAGCCTTGTTTGCACAAGTTGTAGATCTTTACATATTTTGATCCAATTAAGTGAGCACTATTCTCCCCTTCCCCCTGGCAAGGGTGCTGTTATATAGATAAAGCTTCATGCGTAGCGAGGTATCTGGTGTGCCGAGTTTAACCAACAGAGCTTGCACTGTCTGCCAAAGATATGGTTTTGCATCAGTAGAATTATAATATTGTAAATCTGAGGGTAGAGACTATTTTTCTACTATACAAGTAGGTTTTATTGCTAACACTTTTCCTCATATTAGATTAATTTGCACTGCTATTAATGCCTTTATAGCATAAACTGTGCCCACTGAAGGGATGATGCTGTTATTTCAACAAAAGTACTGCTCCTGACTGAAATAAATCTGTGTAGAGTTACTGTAGAAAAATCTTGAAAACTTCTATATGAAAATTGGATTTCATTTTGCATTAAAGTGAATAGCCTTAAGACTTCCAATGCAGTCAGGTAATAAAGTTGTTAAAACATCCCATACCTACACCAAGTATACAGCCTGGAAATCGCTTAACCCTCTTCAGCTGCAAGTGGTTCTCTGTTTTCACCCACAGCTGTCTTATCAGCACACGCCTTCAGAAAAACCCAAGGACAGAGCTCCTATTCACATTTTTCATAGTGCGACAAAACGAAACGCAGCAAACCTAAACCCAAACCAAACAATGACATCTTTTGATGGGTGTTTGCAGCCTGACCTTATCTCTGCCTGCCTTATGCTTGAGCAAGCTCGCATGTGGAAATATTAACTGTCACTTAGCGAGGCCACGTCCAACAAACGTTACTTGTCAGGGCAGATGACAATATAGAGCCACTGCCAAGGCAATTGATGTTTCAAGCTGTCAGTTTCCTGATTGAAGGGGAAAGGAGTGACGTGGATAGGGGTGCTGGGGGACCTGAGTTTGGGGGTGACTCTGGTTTGGAAGGCAGAAATAGCCCTTGGTTAGAGCTAAATATCCTGCTCCGTGAGCCCTACCTCCTCCTCAGCCAGCTAAGCAGCATCCATGCTCTCTTTTTTTTTTAATTTGATCTAGCCTCTTTTGATGACTAAGGGAACGGGAAGATTATAGTTTAAGTATATAATTTTCATTTGATGTGACAGGTTAAAGCTATGTGCATTTAGAGAAGGCTTAGATTATTTTAGTTCAATTACAACACTGATTGAGGCCCTGACTCACTCTTTGAGTCCTGACTTCATGTAGACATATGTTGACTTAAATTTACTGCTAATGAAATATAGGCATATGTTTACATTACTCTGCTTAAACGCTGGTGTAGGGGTGGACTTGCACAGCAAGCACAGTCCTGAATCAAAGGTATAGAGAAATAGATTTTGCTATTGTTGTTGTTTTTTCCGGCACAAAGGCTAGATGTTTCAGAGGGTGTTTTTTCCTTCGTCTGGTGCCCGTCCCAGTCATTGGCCCGTGTAATCCCCAAGCACAACAAGTGCTCTGCAGCGTGCCAGTCCTGCCAGAGACCGAACGCCCTCGAGCCTCCCGGGCTTTGATGGCAGCTGGGCAGGCGGAGAGCTGCTGAGAAGCAAACTGCTAACACACATCAAGAGGGGAGCAGTAACCTTCCACGGGCACGGCTGGATGGAGTGGACGCAGGTTTTGTATGAAACAGCAACGCATTCCCATTTCCTTGGCTAGGACTGCCCCGAGGGTGGCCGGCGGGCGATGAGATGTGCAGCAGTGCTGCAGGCAGAGGTGTGAGCCTCTGGTTTCCCATTTTTCATGGGAAAATGTCCCGTCTCCATGTGGAGGGCAGGAAATTTGTTCGCAGAAACTTTTGTGCGTCCAGTGTCTCTTGCACTTTGTAGGTCAGCTGTGACAAAGAAAAGTGTTATCAGTTTCCCAAAATGAAAGGAAAGGTGATTTTAGGAACTGCATAGGCATCCTGAGTGCCTTAGCTAATGCTTCCTTTTTAGAGGAAACTAAAGCTACCTGGGTTTGGGTTTTTGCCTTAAAAAAAAAAAAAAAAAAAAAAAAAAAAAAAAAAAAAAAAAAAGAAAGGCAACCCCCCATGCTTTTTGGAGCAGTCCTCTCTGCAGCAAATCTGGAAGTGGATCTGAACCTCTCTTCTGACTTGTATTTCTCCTGAAAATTACAACAAGGAAACGGCGTTTTTTATGTCTCCTTCACTACATGTATCCATCTCTAGCCTTGGAGTGGAGGGGGAGGAGAAAGGGAGCTGCCAGCAGCCCATAGTGATTGATTTGTCTCTTGTTTTTAGTGCTGCGCTAGAACAACCTGTTTCAAAAATGACAATGACAAATCAAAGCAAATATTTCTTGCTAGAAATTCAGACTTCCCAAATTGTTAGTGGGTATTTTGCTATTAAATGGGCTGCTTTATCCATAACATTTATTTAGAAGTATTCTTTTTTGCTTGAGCTTGCAACCCTTAAGAGAGAAATGTATTTCTCTGAAGCCGTTTGCTTCAATAATTGTTATCATATGAAAATGTCATTGATTGCTATCACCGGGCGACAGCTTGCATATATACAAAGGTAGAAATGCTGCACTTCTCCACTTGCCCCAAGAAGTACTGAAAGTGGCCCTGGAAAGACATCGGTCTGGGACTCGGACCAGCCCTAAAGCAAAGGTTTGACTATGCCTGGGGCTGAGCTCTGTCTTGAACCCGAGCTGGTGCCCAAACAGCAAACTGTCAGGGCTCAGGTGAGCACAGGGATCCGAGGAGGGGGATGACGAGGAGAGGGATGACGAAGTGACCAGGCAGAGAGCGGAGCCTGAGGGCTGGGATCCTGGTGCTGCCACCCCGCCGCTGCTGCTGCCCGGGGGCACGCAGGGTGCCGTTTGCTCCCCTTTGCCCTTCAGCTTGTCACTCCTGATCAGGGCAAATCCGGTGACTCCGAGGGTGCCTCAAGGCAGCCTTTTTAGCAGAGGGAGATTTCTTTCCCACTGTGCAAATCAAGGCAGTATCACTCGCAACCAGGGGGCATGGAGCCAAACTTTCCCGGTGCTGGGGAAGGGCTGGCTGCGCTCTGACACCGTTCCCAGCTCTGTGAGCCCTGCTCCCGCACCTGGGAGGCCATCGCCTCCCCCTTCCCATCCAAAATACAAACATCGGCGGACAGTTCCTAACTTTCCCTTCCCTGCCGATGGAGCTGCAGCGGTACAGTTGGTGTGTTACCTACGGGAGAGAGGGAGGGAGGGAGGGAGGGAGGCAGGGAGAGGGAGGGAGAGAAGGAGGGAGGAGGGAGAGAGGGAAGAGACAGGCGGGGAGCTCAGGTTACTGCTGCCGCATCGCTGCCTCCCCTCGCTTCCCGCTCCGGAGACACGGACGGTGATGCACCGCCTCGCTTGGGACGTCTGGGCTGCGGGGGGACCGGGGAGACTTCACAAACTGTAGCCGTCGCCCCCCGCCGCGGGGAAGGGCAGCTCGCCCCTCGCCGCAGCTCCCGCGCGACGTGGCCAGAGCCGCCGGAGGATGCACTGCAGGCGCCTGAGGTGAGGAGGGGCCCGCTCCTTCCCGTAACTCCGGCTGCGGGTACGGCCGTGGGCAGGGGAGCCCGTTCGACAGGGGAGTCCTGGACCCCCCACACCGACTTCCCGAAACTCGCCGACCCCCGCGGCTGGGTTAGGAGAGTAAGATAAGAGGGGGCAGCAGATGCGACCCCGCTTTGGAGACCAGGCTCAAAGTCCAGACCTCCCTATCCATGTGTCCTGGTTTCAGCTGGGATAGAGTTAATTTTCTTCCTAATAGCTGGTACAGTGCTGGGTTTTGGATTTAGGATGAGGATCGTGTTGATAGCACACTGATGTTTTAGTTGTTGCTAAGCAGTGTTTACATTGAGTGAAGGGCTCTTCAGCTTCTCACCCCAACCCACCAGCGAGGGGGCTGGGGGTGCACAAGGAGTTGGGAGGGGACACAGCCGGGACAGCTGACCCCAACTGACCAAAGGGATGTTCTATACCATATGATGTCATACTCGGTGTATAAAGCTGGGGGAAGAAGAAGGAAGGGGGGGACGATCGGAGTGATGGCGTTTGTCTTCCCAAGTCACCGCTACGCGTGACGGAGCCCGGCTGGCCTGGGGATGGCCGAGCACCTGCCTGCCCATGGGGAGCGGTGAATGAATCCCTTGTTTTGCTTTGCTTGCGTGCGTGGCTTTTGCTTTACCTATTAAACTGTCCTTATCTCAACCCATGAGTTTTCTCAATTTTCCTCTTCCAATTCTCTCCCCCCATCCCACCGTGAGGGGAGTGAGTGAGCGACTGTGTGGTGCTTGGTTGCTGGCTGGGGTTAAATCCCGATGCCGGGGAAGTCACTCGCCCGAGCCGAGCAGCGCGTGGCTCTGTGGCGCGTGGGGTTTGGCTGAGGGCTCCGGACTGCAACATCCATCCACTGGTTAAATGGGCGGCGAGGTACGTTGCACTAATTGGCGTGAGGGGTAGACTGATTTGATGGTAAGAAGGTCGTAATAAGTAATCTCATTTGCCAGAGGATTTAGTGTGTGTTTTAACATGGGGAAACATTTTGGCAGCCTGTGAACCTGTCCCCCAAGAAAGACCAGGATCAGTTAGGGCAAATACAGGGCAATGTTTTCCTCGGTGTCTTGCGTGTTTGCTGAGACCTTGAATAAAATGCACAAAAAGAAAAAGATCCATGAAGTACAGGTAAATAATTAAAAAGCAGTTGTTGGGCCTGATTCTGCAAACATTACTGCGTATAATCAGCATTTTTAAAGCCAAGTAGTTATTTACAAAGGATTTGCCAGCATGAGGGCCCCACAGTGGGACTTCTGTTCCTCTGCTTTTTGCCTTAGCCCTGCTAGTCAAAAGAGGAGCTGGACTCTGTCCCTCTCAGCTGGCATTTGGCACAGGGCTGGGATGGTGATGGGAGCCTGAGTGGCCGTCTCTGGGCTGTCTCTGCCCTGGGTGGAATCTGTATGATGCCCAGAAACGTTATCCTCCCAGAGTACCAGAGTGCTTCTTTAATAAACATGTCAGTGCAGAGACTTAGTTCAACTGTTGTATTGATAGAGGAAGAATAAAGCTCCAAACACTAAAACAAACACTCTGCCAAGAGGCAGCATGAAATGAAAGGGCAGAGAGCGGCAGAAGCACTGGGCTCACCTACCCCATGCAAGTGCTGCCGCAGCTTACAGTAGGGAAAAAAAACATCTGAAAGGTAGCATCCTGACAAGCCCTCATCCTACAGTGATATTGGCAGGGGTGATCAGCAATCTGTTTATGAAAGATTTGAGAGTGACACTGGAATGTCTTTATTGGTAATTTTTACCATTTTGAACATTTTTTTTGTACAATCTGCATAGCTATCTATTCTCTGCAGTGCTCTTTTACTTCTTACTTCTTGTATCTTGAGATTGCTTCTGAGGGAGAAGAGCAAGACCCTCATCCTGTCTGAAATACGATTTTCAGGTTTTAATTTTCTTTTTCATTAAGATGAAAACTCCAGCGTTTAGCACTACTTGTAAATGAGGGTGCAACAAATAATTCATTTTGGGGGACATAGGCACATACATACAATTTTTGAAGAATGGTGCTTCTATAGCTCAGAGAACCAGGGGTTTGGAGTCATAGCATTGACAGCAAGAGCTTAAAGGAGAATTTTTCTCATTGCTTTATTTGTTTATGAAGATAAGAGGGTGACTGTGAGTTGTATTTTGTTCCTATTCAGCACAATGAAGCACATGGGTTTATACAGGGTAAGGTTGCTCTGATTCATTCCATTGTGGACGATTACTTATCTTTGGTGAGATCTGGAGTTTGGAAATAACAAATAAAATAGCAATTGTAGTGAAGTTGCTGATTCATAAGGCAATTCTTAAAAGAAGTTAAAAATACTCATTAGCATCAGTGATAAATGGAAGATGGGATATTGTAGGAATAGAGGGAGCATTAGAAGAAGCACGTCTATTAGCATTGAAGAGAATCCTGGAAAGGGACGTTTGGTACACAGAGGGTGAAGGGAAGAGAGAGAGAAAGAAGAGAGGAGAAGAGGAGAAAGCTGAATGTTTAGAAAAAATGACTACCAAGATGAGAAAAGGTCCTTCTGGGAGAACAAGGAGGGAGTGCCTCCTTGTATTCTCTACCTGCGAGTGAGGATGCCTCTTTGCTTTTTGCCTGCCAGCTGTGTTTGGATCGCCTGTGGAAGTGCATTAAGTCAAAACTGTCTGAATAAGCTCCTAAAAAGGACAAAAAGCACCTGCACCGGGGGCTGGATGGTAATGTCTGTCCTGTACAGTTTATCTGTGTTGATAGTCTGAACTTTGCAACTGGGTGTCTAACAGCCCATGTTGCAGCCTCCACTGCAACTTCTTTCTCCTTCCTGGAAAAGGGATCTGGCCTTACCAAATATCCAAGCTGACATTTGGGTGGGCTTTTTAGGGCCAGGATTCATCAAGAGAATTTTTCAGGCAGCTTGCAAAAGAAAAATGATATTTTAAAATAGAAGTAAGCTTTCTTGACTTGGCTAAAGTCCCTGGAAATACATTTCTTCTTGACTCTTCAGATGCAGCATTTCTTTCCTGTGACATTATGGGAGCAGCTCCACCTCCTGCCAAAGTTTTTGCTGGTTTTGAGAGCAAAACTGCATTCTGGTCTGAGCACGCTGTTTGACTTTTCCAAATGAATGTCATGAGCAGGTGGTCATGGTTGGGTGGATGAGATCAAGGTGCATCAAGAGCTAATGTCTCATGATTTTTTTAATACAGAGGGAGATGCAGCCTCCGATTTAGAAGATCACTGTGCCACAAATGTCTTCCCATCATGATATTTATTCTCCTTCAGGCACTGGCCACTTGGACAGTCTCAGAGGCAGAACCCAGAGACCACATGGACCTCTGGTCTGGGCCATGGCAACCACTGTAGTAATGGAAATCTCCACACCTGAGGTGAAATTTCTGTATCTGAACTGGAAAGACTGTTTTCGAGTGGATGGAACCCACAAATTTTTGTTCTTTCCCTTGTAATAATAAAGATGCACCTTTTTAATGGGTGAATATTGCATGCAAAACTCCTCCTGTGCCTGTGCATTGCCTGTGAGAGAGCGGCTGTGTCCAGGTTATGTTTATACACATATGCTGACACTGTGTTTAACCACCAGTACGTTACCCTCTGTAGTACAGAAAACGTGATTCAGAGGAAATGATGGAAATTTCTCTTTGGAGAAATAAGGCTAAGGAGTTACAGGGTGTCAGCTGGCTCTTCTGAAACTGTCTCTGTCATAGCACGATGGGAGGAGATCTGGGGCAGGGAGGTGAAACTTTCAGGGACTCTTACTCAGCTTCTGAATTTTAACCAATTTATATTTTAAAGTCTTTTATTTATTTTTTTTTTTGGTCATGGTTTTTCTTTGATTGCTGGGAAAAAAAGTTTCTTTGATTATTATAACTATACCAGTATTTAGGCTCTGTTGGTCACGCTGCTAAAAACAATACAGTTGTGTGCATATATCTATATATATATATCTGTGTTATGTATATATGCATGGCATTTCATTGGGATTAATATTAATCTGGAATTTAACATATCACTCTAATATGTTTTTTTCCCCTAGAACTATTACATTCACAACTTTACTCGTTTCTATTCTTCATTTTTTAAAAAAATTTTTTTCCTTTTAAATTATTTTTTTTTGCTTTTCTTATCAAAATCCAAAGCGGTGAATAAAATCAGCCCAACCTTCTATAAAGAAGATTCAATCTGCTGTTAAAGTTACAGGGTCAATCAGCTAAATGGGTATTAGTAACATAATGACAGAGCATAAGCCAGGCAACATAGTAGGATCTGCAAATCAGTAACAGCAATGCTTCTTTTCTGTCTGTTGTCTAAGTGATTGCTTAGGGTTTGGAGGTGGGGACTCCTGCTGTGAGTCTGTGACCATGGGCGAATGGCTCACCCGCTCCCCAGATTCTGCTCCCTGGCTGTAAAACACCGCGGCCTTTCTGGAGAGCCAGAGGCTTATTTTAAGCATCAAAACCACCCACCCATCAGACCCCCTTTCCCAATGCATACCCTATCAAGGCAGGCCAGGGGTAGCACAGAGGTGCCTGGGGAGGAACTGAGAAAGCTAACCCTTCCAAGCAACATTGCAAAAAACAAAAATGACAAAAACCCCAAAGAAACAAAAAATAAAGGGGAAAAAAAAAAAGGGAGAAAAAAGAAAGAAAAAAAAAAGGGAGAGGATTTTGCTGTAAATAAAGTGCCTAGCAACTCAGTGCTTAAATGATAGAAACTGTCATGTGTGAAGCAGAGGAACAATGCCTTGCTTTGACTCGCTGACTGACTGACAAGGAGGGACAATTTTGATAGCAGAGGCTGGTGAGAGGTAGCAGAGGGAAAAAGATTTTCTGTGGTTTGGCAGGAAGGGCAGCAAAAAAGTTTTTCCCTTGCCCTGTACCCTTTTCAGATTTCCATCCTTCTTGCCTGCTGGTCTTGACGTTTGGGTGAGGACACTGTTAATACAAGTTGCTGTAAAAACCTCTCCCTGAAAAGTGGCGTTTTAAGGCGCCGGGAAGGAGATGATTAGGCTCATCACCTTCGTGGCTGTTTGCATGTTGTTCTTTTGGCTGGAAACAGCAGCCCTGGGCTCGGGAGGCTCCGCTGGATGCTGCCACCGAGCGCACGGGTGGGAGGAGACAGCCAGTGCTCCCGAGGGGACCAGGCAGGGTATTCTGTCCCCGTGCGACCCTTTGTTTCGAGCAGAGGTTCACCACCACCATTTTTGGTAGTCCTGCGTGGGACCTGAGTGGGTTCAGCTGTTCCAGACAAGGACTCGTAGGTGCTGGGCAGTGTTCTGCTGCCAGAGTGGGGGGACAGACGAAAACTGCTGGGCCAGAGGCACCTGGTCATCCCTCTCTGGCTTTTGAGCTTGTGCTAAGGGGGAAACCCGGCCACCCACATGTGTCCCCATAAAAGTGGAGGCCCAGCCAGTGCTGAGCACACTGCTTTGCCAGACACATCATCTTTGAGAGCTCCAAGCTGGCCCCTGCTCTTCTGAAATGCTTGCATTTAGGAAAAAATAAATGTTTCCTGCTGTACTTAACATTTTTTTATTATCTATGCATGTTTAATCCCTCTTTGTGTCCTGCTGAGCTTCTGAGAAAGCAATTTAGAAGCTTTATTACAACGGATATCAAAAGTTAGCAGGTATTATTAGTACATATACCAGGGTACATATTACTTTTGATTATTAGGAAAGGAAAATGGCAATATTGCTGACAACCTTAACTGTGCAATATTTGAGGTCATAACTCCTGTTTACACACTTAAATCACATCCCTGCTTTTGGGTCTGCCTTGTTGCAGACGCTTGTGTCTCTCTTTATGAAGTGGGGACTCTTGCAAATGGTCAAAAGCACTTTGGTTGTCTGCGGTTTAGGTCGTTCCCTGGCTGATGTGTGCAACCTTAATCCAAAGCCAATGCTGATCATCCGCTGAACTCAGTGGCATGACTGTAGCTTTGCCCCAGAAAAATTAAGAAAACTTTATTTCTTTAAATTGGTATTTTGAATCTGTTTCTCAGGAGGACTCTAGACCTACTTACCTCTCTTTGCCTCGGGCCAGATTGCTTTTCTTGATCTATATGGCATATAGTCTTGATCTCTTGGTGCCATTGAGATAATTATACTCATTAACAGACATAAAGGAGGTGTCAGATTAATCTTGATGGAATAACTAGGCTTCATTACAGGAGTTACCATGGCCTTGTCACTGCAACATGAAGGAGTTACACAAGGGTCAGTGGTGTGAACAGAGAGACCTTAGAGCCAATCTGCTACCACGGCAGAACGCAGGAAGAAGTTCTTGCTGCTGGGGGAAATAGGTCCTCGCAAAGTAGAGGGCTGCAGTTTGATGGATTTGGATCAGAAACCTGGACTACCTTCTGCTTTTCTTCATGTGTTCATTTCAGGCATGTGCACGAGGGGCGCCGGGCTGCAGGCTCCTGTAGCCCACGCTGCTTGGGTCCTGGGCTTTCCTGCGAACCTCGTTTGGATCTGCGCAGAGCCATGAAACGCCACGCCGGTCAGTTTAAACAAACAGCTCTCTAGGACACAAAGCAGGTAATTTTTTGGCAATGCTCTACATAAAATACTCTGCAATTGGAACAATAGGAGATGGCAAAGGCTTTGAGATAATTGAAAACTGCAATTTCTGACTCAGATCAGAGAGAAAAAATCAAGTATAACGTCATGCAAAAGGATTTGCTGTAAAATCAGAAAGATTTGTTTTGATGCAAAAATAGTGGATGCTGTTCAAAATGACCTCTAGAAAAGAGATTGCTCGCTCCTAAGTCTCCACTGCTTTCTGGACCACCTCCTGTAAACTTATTGTTCCCTTCCTATTAACATCTCCTGGACTGTTCCATGGAGATATCTGCATGCAGGCTGGAAATCTTGAATCACAGACTGTATTGTTTGTCAGATGCAGGCAAAAGAGGAAAGATGCAGCAACAGATAATTTAGAAACCACAGGCCTTGTCATACCTAACCTGTGCTCGTATTTCTCTTGCAGAGCAAGATACTTTAGGTTGGATGGTGACAGTTTTGCTAAATGCAGTCACAGCCATGTTGTCCTATTGACACATAACAGAAGCCGTTGCTTTCCATATGTTCTTCATATATAGCAGTTCTCCCAGGCAGTGGGGGAGACAGAGCATTTGTTTCACCCAGGAACCTACACCTGCTATTCACAGGTGGGATGAGGGATGGGGTGGGGGCTCAGCATCCCAGGGGTAAGGAGCCAATACCAGGGTGATTTAATTCCCTGATATGGCAACTTAAGCAGTCCAAGGAATCGACCTGTTCGTGTTAATATAAAATGTTTTTAACTTTCAAAATTTTCCATATTCACCTGAAAACAAAAATAAAATCAATGATTTTAAAAGAAAAATGGCCTCAGTGAGAGGAAGCTGGCCATCTCTCTGTCACCCTTTCCCTTGCTGTTCTTTCAGTAAATGCCCACCTCATAACGTGTTGCCAAGGTTGGGTCCTTGGGACATCAAAGTTGTACCTGTGCAAATGCATCTTTTCCAACAGCCCCCTCCAGTCACACTTCAGGCTCCCACTGGCTTTGGGGGCATCTGGGACAACTCTTCCCCTCTTGAGCTCCAAGGTGGGGAAATTAAAGGCAGGGCCATTGGGTGGGACACCTGTGTGCAGTCCTGTGTGTTTGCAGAATTTACCTGGAGGGAGGAGTTTGGGGAACTGGTGCTATACCGGGGAAAGACCTTTGCAAGAGTGAAACAGGGAAGAAATGGGATTGTGACAGAAGATGGGGCACAGTCTGGGGTGGACAGGCAGTCTGAGTCTCCTCCACTGCTCCTGGTCCGGGGGCTTGCATGGCTCTGCAGAGCTGGGGGTCACGGTGAGGAGCTGCAGCTGGGCAAGCACCAGAGCGGGGTGCAGCATGTTATCTGGATGGCTCCCTCCTAACATGGCTGGGGAGGCAGAGAGAGCTGAGACACAAAACTGGGAATGCCCAAGGTGCTACTGGCTCAATGTGAGTCCTTGCAAGCCCTCCCCACAGTCTCCTCCGCAAATACCTCTGTGGGTAATTGCAAATGTTTCATCTGAGAAAAAAAGAACACCTTTCTTACCAGTTCCAGATAAGCTCGGTCTTGCTTTTGGTGATTAAGTTGACAACAAAAGCTAGTATTTCCCAGCTTTCACATAGTCAGGACCAAATGAGACTTTGCTCCAGGAAGTGTGCATTTCTTATCAAGGCCACTGCCTACATGTTGGTGTTAGGGAGGGACCTGCTGTCAAATGGTACATGTACATATGTGCGATTTGCAAAATTTAGAAAATATGGCTTACAATTTACATAAATTTACAAACATTTGCACTGTGTGTGTATGTGCTTATATATCTGCATAAGGTACGCTGCTTCATACATGGACTGAAAAAGGAAGACTGGCTCTGGGTAGGCAGTATGGTAAATACATGCCAGAACTTACGTTGGGAGTCTGTTTTCCCAGCCGTCCAGAACAGGAACCTTTTTATTTTTTTTTTAAGATCTGTTACCAGTCCCCAAACCTGGAAACAAGTAAGGAGATATGGTCAAGTCACAATAGACTGATTCTACTGAAATCTGGTAAAGTGAGTATGTTATGTTACTGTTTCTTGCTCTTGAGTATTTCTGAAAAGGTTTCTATGGGTTTTAAAAGAAAATTGCTCTCAATTACATTCTTAGTTCAGTATTTGAAGGATTTGTTTGTACATGTTCTGGAATTCTTGTGACAGAGAAATATCAGACCCTTGAACAGCCTCATGAAAGCAGGTGACAGGAACAAACTTCTGCACCTCTGTTGTCAGCCTCAGAATATCATCCTGTCCTGGAAGCCCTGTTTTCAGGATATGCATGTGTTTCCTCCCAGACCACTGAAGGACATGAGAACAGATGCAGAGCAGATTTTTGTATAATCTTTTGCGTGTGTGTCTCAGTGTATATGTGTGTATATATATATGTATGCATAAGTGTATTCTCACACAATTTTACATATGTATTTAATTAAAGCAATTTTTACATTAATCGCAAGACTACTGTGAGCTATACATATAAGTGAGATCTGAGGAATACACTATTTAAAGATAAAGTTAATTTAAATATAAATGGCAGAAGAAATGTGAACTTTTGAAATATTTTCAAAATTCATTAGTGAATCATTGCAAAAATGCATTTCACTGTGGGAGGAATTTCAGTAAACCAGGACTCCAGTTCTACTAGTTTCATGTTTTTGAGAATACCGACTGAGGTTCATGGGACTATTCTTACGGGTAAAACAATCTGGATTTGGTCCCAGGAACACCTGCCTGGACTTTAAAATGAACTTAAGCTGGCAACGCAAAACCCTTTAATTGCTTGGAAAGGGGAATTTGAGCAAAAGGAGGGCACTAACATGGTTTTGGGGAGTCTATGCAGAATGTTCCTGGCTGGAAGTCAGAGATCAAATTTCCATGAAATCTACAGCTCTGGGGATTGTAAACTTGGTTTGCTGTGTTTTTAGATGGGAAGCCAGATCCAATTCTTTGTTAAAAGAGGTGGGAAGCAGAAGGGAATGCTCTTACCCTGGTAAAAATTCTCCCAACCTAGTGCTCTAAAATAGTAGTTGGTGGGCCTGTGGGTCAATGGAATGAGTAACTGAAGCATTATACTCTTCTCACCCAGTTAGTTTATGGAGATGTGTAATTTTTTTTTAGCACCGTGACCTTTTTGGGTTTGCTTTGATAATTTTTCTTTCTCTCAAAATTTATACTAGATTTTTAACCAGATACGCAGCACATTAATCTGTTAAAGGATGGATGAATTAACATTGTTGTTATTCTTTGGATGTCTTTCATCTAAAAAGGAGACAGGTTTATGTACAACCCCCCTTCTCACCTCAGCATGCCCTAGTGAGCCACCGAAACTCTGCAAAAGACGAAACATCCAAATAATTTGACCCACTGTTGTTTTTTTTTCCTGAGCAGCTGACCCAAAGTCAAACACCTGATTCATGGCTCCTCCAGCAAAAAGATCAGGAGCGGTTTCTGTGTCAGTGCAAGAGCCCCACAGGATGCAAAGAAGATGAAGATGGGAGGAACGTGGCTGGGCCTGCCAGTTGGACAGCACTTGCTGGCTCTGGGACACAGGCACTTTTCAAAAAAATGGAGAAACATGGTATTTAAATAAAAACTGTTGCTGTTATTCTCTCTCATCTGGCATGGGCACGTATCTGCTGCTTCTGCACTCTGGCTTGTGAGAGCCCTGGTGGGTTTGTAAGATGCTGACAGTGGGGAGGAGGCCTGAATCATCACTCCGGGTAACCTGGTATCAGTAGACAGGCCTGTGTGAATTTCTGAGGGTATGCTGGCTGGGGGGGCAGATTCAAGTTAAGCATGAGCATGAATTTGATTGCCAGCAGAACATTTTGTGGGAATGATACTAGGAGAAACGTGTGTGGGCAAGTGCCTTGAAATAGGTAGCTTTCAATTAGACAACCTGGCTTTAAATCCCTCTGCAGGGAGTTTGATATACAGCACTGAAAGAAGCTAGGTTTTTTTTTTTTTGTTTTTTTTTTTTTTTTTTGTGTTTTGTTTTGTTTTGTTTTGCTTTGTTTTGTTTTGTTTTGTTTTGTTTTGTTTTGTTTTTAATGTGCTGTTCCTTCTTGTTTCTTTCAGATGGATTTCAGAAAATTCAGGCTTTTTCTCTGCCTTGTAGGTCTCAGCTGTGTTAGCTTCTGGGTTTTTTACAACAATTTGACTGAATTCTGTATATTCTGTGAAAACAGCCATGATTATATATTCCCCATAGAGACTTTTAGGAGGATTGGAGAAAACTTCTCGCAGCTCCCAGATATAGACTGCCATAAGAACCCACCTTTCCTCGTCCTGCTTGTGACATCCTCATACCACCAGGTAGATGCCAGGACGGCCATCCGGCAAACCTGGGGGAAGGAAAGAACGGTCGCCGGCAAGCGCCTGGTGACATATTTCCTCCTGGGAAGCACTGTGAATCTCAGCCAGCAAGCTGATATCTCTGCTGAAAGCCAAAAGTACAAGGACATTATTCAAAAGAATTTTACTGACACTTACTACAATTTGACTTTGAAGACCATGATGGGGATGGAATGGGTTCACAGATTTTGTTACCAGTCAAGCTTTGTGATGAAAACTGACACAGATGTGTTTGTCAATGTTTTTTACCTCACTGAGCTTCTTGTAAGGAAAAAGAGGACCACTAGATTCTTCACAGGTTTTTTAAAACTGCATGAGTACCCGATACGGAGAAGGGGGAGTAAGTGGTACGTGAGTAGAGAAGAGTATCCGGGAAAGACCTACCCGCCATTTTGTTCTGGGACTGGTTATGTTCTATCCACAGACGTTGCTAGTCAAATCTATAATATTTCAGAGAGAGTTTCGTTCATTAAACTGGAGGATGTATTCATAGGACTGTGCCTTGCCAAATTAAAAATTCAGCTGGAGGAGCTTCATTCAGAGCAGACGTTTTTTCCAGAAAGGATTAGGTTCTCTGTTTCTCGCTTTAAGAAAATTGTGATGTGCCATGAGGTAGAACCATCTGAGCAGCTGAGCTACTGGAATCACTTAGTGACAGAATATCACGGAGGAGTGCTCTAGCACCTTCCCTGCTTGAATTAACAAACTGAAATGCTCCGCATTTACAGGGCTGCTCTTGACTCCAGCAAAACTCCCAACTGACTTTAGATCCATCATGGTGAAGATTTTTAATGATTATTTTAATTTCTGCCCAAGAACATGCAAACTTCTTTCTCTCCCACTCATTTCCACCTCTTTGCATCCCTTCTCAACACAAGTACCAATTATTATTTTTTTCTGAAAGATGCAGACATGCAAACCTGCCCTCCAAATCTTGCTGCTACAGGACTGGGAACATTTCTTCAGTGCCAAACTAAAAGTCAAAGTACTTTTGTTCAGAGAAAAAAAATTGCAACTTCTTCCTGGTGCCCCTTGATACATTACTGCATTTTCACCCCTCTGTGCAGGCACTAAAGAAAATGTGTTTGTAGCTGTCAGGACACTCCCCTCTTGGCAAAGGGAACTGCAGCCTTGCCCTTGCATCCAGATTGGTGTGGGCAGAACTGTGTACTGGCACGGATCCCTCCTTCAGTCTACACACATTTTTTTTCAGAGATGGAAAAAGTTGCCCATGCAGTGCTCTTGGAACAACCTTAGGTACTGCAGGTCACCTGGTAAACGTGTAAGGCTGCTATATCTGCTTCCCTATATGTGCCTCCTGATGAAAATGATATGTGGTAGAGCCGGATCCATGCTCAGTGGAGTGTCCTGGTCTTTCTATTAGAATAGAACCCAGAGACGTCTTTTGCGTTTGTGTCTCAGTTTGATTGCTTGAAAGCTACTGTAAACGGTTTGCCAAAGCTGAACTAGAGTCATTTAGGATGAGCTAAACAGTATATTTGATTTAGCCATCTTTCTCTATGAGGAACGGGGTGTGTAAGGGAGAAGATGGAAGGATTTTTCTCTTTTAACCAAGACCTAGTGGGACAATGTGACCAAGTTATCATTCAGACTGGGATCCTCATTTCTTATTTCATTACCAAGCAAAGACTCATGAAATCACTAGGATGTATGTAGGTTTTGGAGACAAGGAATTGAGTCTTTACAGTAGATGCTGTGAAAAATATATTTGGGCTTAACATGAGGGGGGAGAAATGATTTAATAAAATCATGCCTTATGCAGAACTCCTATTCGATTTACTTTCACACAAAGAAAAGGTCCATTTTACCAGCAAAGAGGTATTGAATACCTGTACTGTGTGTCAAATGTTTTTTTCAGAGAGCAGTAGAAGTGGGGCTGCTCCCTAGGGGAAGATGATCTGGGAGCTGAGGGGATCCGACAGCCATCAGGGCTCAGCCCCACGCACCCACAGGAGGGAGCAGGACAGACCCACAGATGGTGGCCAGGTCCAACCAAGAGTCCCAATCATCAGTCAGTATCATGGTGATGAGGTAGGTCTGAGGTCAGGCCAGTGATGGCTGGGCCCTGGTGACGATGGGTGGGGGATCAGGATCGGGCCCAGTGAGGGGAACCAGGGCCAGACACTGCCCCAGGGCATCAGGGGCAGGGCCTTGGGGATGGGGACATGTACTGAAAATGTGTAAAAAGCATGGAGGAAAGACAGGGAAAGATATTTTATTGCTTTAGGGTTATTTACTTTTATAGATTTTTTTCTTTTTTATTTAAGTTTATGAGGACTGTCCAAGTGTGTCTGTTTACTTGCCTGTGTCTGAAGAGCAGGATATTTTCAGCAGGAGTATGTCCAATCCTGAAAAGTGTTTAATAATGGTAATAAAATATTATTTATTTTCTTCTGATGTTGAGTAACCTGAGCTCATGCACTTATTTTTTGACAACAGATGATGAAAGAAATAATGTTTATTTCTTTGGTAGAAGAATAACCTTCTTTGTTTTAAGTCCCCCATTCAGCAAAAGGCTGCATATATGGTGTTTGCAGGGATATGGCTATCCAGGTAGTAGCGTTGGTGACCAAGGGGGTGTTTGCCTTTCCCTAGATAGGGGTTGGGCAGCCCAGCTCCAGGTTGAACAACATCTCTCCATCTCCCACCCCGACTCCGCAGGTGTATCTGCCTTGGACTCAAAGCCCTGCAGCAGCACACCTACTTTTGTGGCTGCCTTCGGTAGGTGCGATGGGTTACACTGCTAAGGCCTGAGAACAGTATTTTAGTCACTATTTTTTCCATGTAACCTGCAGAAATGTGTTTTTGTCATTCATTGCTATTGTACCCAAGGTGCAAGCTGGGCATTGCTTTATTTTATGGAAAAATATTGAGCATAAAGGAATGCTTCCTGGCCTCTCCTAGCTCCCTCTCTCATGGAGTAGAGGGTCCGTGAGCTGGGACAGCATAATGCAGCCTAATGTTCATCCTGGCCTCTTCTCGTTCTCAGAGAAATAATCCTGCAGTCCCTTGTGGGTCTCACTCCCACCTCCGTGCCTGGTGCCAACCTCTCGCCAGCTGGCAGGACCAGTCCAGCTGCGCAGTCCCAGGGAGCCTGTATCTCGGCAGAACAGCTATTAATTTACATGTGGATGTGTTGACTTGGTCGTCTCCATTAGGTGTTGAGATGTAAGAAGTATGGTGGCACCTGGCTCCTGGGACGAGGCAGCTGCTGATCTTCTGTCAGGCTGATTTCGTGGCCAAAGGGTAAAGTGTCCCATTAGGAGACAGTATTTTGGGTTGCTTCCCTGAATGATGCCTGCTTGTGAGTGGCATTAAAATATATCTTACCTGAGCAGTTTACAACTTTGTACTATCATAAAAAAAATTACCCTTGTGGACCAAGTTCTGCTAGACTTCTTGACTGCGGATTTTACTTTGGTTCAGGAGTGTTCCTAATTACTTGAATATAGCTACTAACTGGGAAGATGGTGCTGTTCTCTGTTAATCACATTTGCAGACACTAATACTATTTTTTGGGGGCTAAATTCATAGCTACCGTGCCATTGGGAATAAGATCCTCAGGCATCTTCTAAGAAACCATCCTGTTCTGGATACTGTTTCCAGTGAGTCTATTTGTAATTTCAAGTGACCCATGCTAGATACCTCTTTTTATTGCGGCATTAAAAATACTTTGTCCCCACTGAATGTATGCTGTTAAGCATCTAACGGCCTGTCCATCTGAAGCATTTAGGTTATCACTGCTATATCTCTGATGAGGAGCAAATCAGTACTGGTTGAAATGTTATGGATTCAGAGACCCTGCTCCTCTCCTTTTCACAAATTATATTCCCAAGTGAATGCTTTATGTTGCTGCACATTATTTTTCTCAACATAAGATTTTATTTGTCCTTGCATAAATTAGAAATTGATTTAATAATTCCATTTGGCAGGCTGCTTTGAATAAGAATATAGTAAATGAATAATTAATTACTTAAAATATAAGGTTATCCTGATGAAAAAGGTGATTTAAGAAAAGTAGATTATTGCATGCAAGTCAGATTCATTTATTTAAACAAAGCCACTGTGCTAGTCAGTTTATATGTATCAGATAAATGAAATTAGCTTTTGCAGCTTAGGCCTCAGATCATGACTTTTAACACAATCAAAACAATAGTAGTGGCCTTTTGCCAAATTGTGTGTATCTTCCTATGAAAGACATCACAAAAAGATTGGAAATGTAACTAGAACTGTAAACACAATACTGCAGTGTACATACACTTATTTTTAAAATTTTGTATAGGCTAATAAAATAATTTAGCCAATTTTGGGGCAGTTTATCTGTAGTAGTGCACTATCTGAACATTTTTATGCTTTCTAGGTCAGATGATCATCAAATAATTTTTTATGAATAGCCTTGAAAAATTACTCTGAAAAGTTACTCTGTTGCTTCTCATTCAGTAGGAAGGAGGTGTAAAAATCAACAGAGCTGATAGTGTCTTAGAGTTGGTTAGAGTTGTGCATTTCAGCATACTCCATTTGTTCCAATGCAAGGTCAGGTTTTGAATACAGAAAAATAAATACATTTTTCACAAATCTAACTCATCAGCTAATATATTCCGAGTTTAGGAGGATTTTCAAAAACATCCGTGAAGCATTTGGACACACAGCTCATCTGATTCAGTATTACTGAGTAGGTATAATCCTTCTAGGCACTTTTGAGAATACAGAATAGATTTTTGTAATGAAACATTTGCCTTATGTAAAAGCTGAATGGAACAAAAGGGCTAACTGTCTGTAATGGATCTGACAGGAATGCTGCTTTTCTTGGATTTGTGCGGGTTACTATATAATGTTAATATAAAATGCGTGACAATGTTTGCATTATTTGCATAGAACATGAGAATGTTGCGCTAACTACTCAATGTATGATATTTTAGTAAAGTATTTTGTTACCAGTTTTATGTGTTCACTTATCTTTTCAGTTGTGAATGTATTAACATTTTGGGATGTAGTCAAGTGAGGAGGCTTGTTCTTTTTCCAGTTAAAAAGAATAGAATCATAGAATCATTTAGGTTGGAAAAGGCCTTTAAGACCATATAGTCCAACTGTAAATCTAACACTGTCAAGTCCACCACTAAACCATGTTCCTAGGTGCCATATCCACATGTCTTTTAAATAACTCCAGGGATGGTGACTCAGCCACTTCCCTGGGCAGCCTGATCCAATGGTTGACCACCCTTTTGTGAAGAAATTTCTCCTAATATCCAATCTAAACCTCCCCTGGTGCAACTTGAGGCTGTTTACTCACTTGCTACTTGGGAGAAGAGACTGACCCCTCACCTCGCTACAACCTCCTTTCAGGTAGTTGTAGAGAGCGAGAAGGTCTCCCCTGAGCCTCCTTTTCTCCAGGCTAAACAACCCCAGTTCACTCAGCTTTTCCTCGTAAGACTTGTGCTTTAAACCCCTCACCAGCTTCATTGCTCTTCTTTGAGTGTGCTCCAGCACCTCAATGTCTTTCTTGTAGTGAGGGGCCCAAAACTGAACACAATATTTGAGGTGCAACCTCACCAGTGCTGAGTACAGGGGGACGATCACTTCCCTAGTCTTGCTGGCCACACTATTTCTGATGCAAGCCAGGATGCTGTTGGACTTCTTGGACACCTGGGCACACTGCTGGCTCATGTCCAGCTGGCTGTTGACCAACACACCCAGGTCCTTTTTCACCAGGCAGATTTCCAGCCACGCCTTCCCAAGCCTGTAGCGCTGTGTGGGTATGTTGTGACCCAAGTGCAGGACCTGGCACTTAGCCTTGTTGAATCTGAATCTGTTGAATTTTCTCCTCTCCTCTAAACTGCTTCAGTATGTACATTGTAAAATGACTGGTTGCTTCCAAAGGCAAATACATAATTCCCATAAAAGAGAAAGAGGTCAAGAATGTGAGTCCTTTCCCAAGTATTAGGCATGCTATCCTGCCACATTAGCCACTCTTGCCATTAATTTTCTACATATGGTACACCTTTAAGTCAAAGACATCTTAAAACAAAACCTTATAAATAGTCTGTGATCTGAATTCAGAATGTTTTTTCCAAATGACAAGAGTGTCAAGTGCAAGATTGTTAAAACCATAGCAAGGGAATTGATAAAAGACAATTTTAACCACAGTTGATGCCTTTTGGAAGATCAAGATCCAACCTGAAATGGTTTTGCCTGGGCCACCATAGTCAGGACTGTTTGACTGTGGCTGACTGGCATGCTTCTTGGGACATGGAAGCACAGGCACTGTTCCCCTACCACTTAAGAGGAAAGTGTCAAATAACTGAAGGCCATCAGATTGTTTGCCAAACACAAGCAGTTATGAACGAAAACCCATAACTAGAAAAGTTATCCCTTATTACGTTTATCTTTTGCTTTATCTTTTTTCCTCACTTATCTTTATGGTGCATTTTCTTTGTTTGTTTACAGCTGGACTTAAATTCATTAGTTCATCCCACCAATATATTTCCAGAAATATCTACAAATATTATCACACTGTATAGAGGAAAGCATGTGAGTCACAGGATTTAGATATATGCAGTACATAGGAGATCCAGCTTGAAAACCAGACTTGAATTTGCATATGTTCTGGCTGAGCAAATAGAGATTTTGTCAAAGCCTACTAATACAGTGGTTTTAAGACTATCCTTCTAAAAAATCACTCAAGTACATTTTCACTGAAAAATATAATTAGACGATTTCAATAGCTGAGAAATAACCTTGTTGTTGCCTTACGTTTGGGCAAATTAAAAAATGCATTATTTTTGTGGGGAAAGAGAAATCCAAGTCCTTTCTTGGAATCTCCAACTGAACCATGTACACAATATCCCTTGTGTTCAGTTACTGACCTAACATGACCTCATTTAATTTATGAGTTTGGATGAAGGGACAGAGACCTGTGTAATCGGCTTCCTATTCTTCCGTCACTAAAAGCACTTACAAATCACAGCCCCCTTTACGCTTACAAACTGTCAGCATACAGCTGTAGGCACAGAATGTCATAAATTAGTTATGTGGTGTGATTTACACCTCCAGCTTGTAGATCTTCCAGGCAGCTCTATTCCCTTCATGTTTAATTTAATTGTTATTGCTGGAACAGCAGTTGTAAGTAAATGTTTGACTCCAGTACATAAAAGGACCTGCAGCTTTTACACGTGCTTCTGCTAGTAAAGGTTCAGCGAGGGAATTGAAAAGAAGAGCGAGCTGAGCCATGAGGCAGGAGTGGGAGTGAGCCGTGTTGTGCGTGAGTAATGCAGCTTGCTCCTGCTGGGGGTGAGGAGGTGGCAGCATAGCGGCGCTTGTTGCCGGCGGGGAGAGCTGGGTGCTGAGGGCGAGGGTGTGCCATGCAGCTCTGTGCTTACCTGCCCTTCCTCCAGCCCATTTTGGGGACCCCATCCCCTTATGCTGAGGCCAAACCTTGCATGCCTTGCAGGTGTAACCCAAGTGGCAGGAGGTTTGCTGCCGGAGGCCCCTGTAACTGAATAGTACTGCCTTCTCCAGCTCTGCTGAAGGAAGGGCTGCATGCGATAGGGGAGAAGAGGGGACGGGAAACTTTACCCTATAAACATACCAGCCCTTACTATATTCTGGAGAGCTTTCAGTACCCACCAGTTCTCTAAGCTTTTAGGGAATCTTATTTTGTATACAAGTGTTGCAAAGGAAATGGACTAATATAAAAATAAAGTTTACTGCTCCTCTGTAAGAGAAAGCCAAAATACATCAGTGCTCATGAGCACTTCCATTACTCTGCCAAATAAAGAGGAATTGAATATCTGAAACCATCTCTGCCAAGGACTTACTTTCTCTTACTGCAAAAGGGGAGCTTTCAGCCACACTCGGTATCACAGATACAGTGCATAGGAGACATTCATTTCTAAGAAAAAAACCCTGCCATTTCTACTTACTGATCTTAACTGAATGCCCAAAGGGAGCAGTAAGATGTCAGTCATAAGGATGTCTTTCATGAAAATGCAAAAAAGACACAGCTCTTCCACTATAATACCTACTTTTATGGTGATAATCTGCTCTCTTATCATTGCAGTGTCAGTTTGGATCACGCTTTCAGGTCACTTAGGGAATATTCATTAATATTCTATTTTCAGAGGTGTAAGTATTAACATTTCTCATAACTGGCAACCTTGCAAAATCATCAGGAAAGAAAGAAAAGGGGCATAATTTCATACTCTCATGGTAGTTTTCCTGGCATTATCGGGGAAGTCCTGTGGGATTTGGAGCCCTGGGCATAGTGCTTGTGTGTGCATATCACTGACAAGGCTTGTGCACTGTTCACCTGACATGTCCAGAGCTGGACTTGCCATGCACTGGCTAATAGGTGTTGAATGCACCAGTTTTAAAGGAGCTCTGGAGAGGTTTGCACTTTGCCTGAACTCCTTGAAGAATCTGGCTGCACATACAAAGCTCAGGAGGGAGCCTAAAATCATGACCCTAAGCAATAATGAGAAATGTAATAGTGATTATAGTGAGTGTAGAGAATGATGTTTACATTTTCTTGGCACGCTATCATACGTTGAAAAGTTCCTTAGAATAGACTGAATGATAACCAGAGCAATTAAGCTAACTGTTTGGACCAGAGACAAAACATTTCAAAAGCTAAAGAAAATGTTGCTAAGGGAACAGATATATTAGAGAACACCAAAAATTTCCTTCTTAGATGTACACTCCCCCTAACAGCACCAAAGCTGTATCTTCCTTCATTCTGTAATAAACTTTCTTACTTAATGTTGCCTGGACTCTGTGACAAATGTCTTCATCTACATTCTCTGAATTAGGACATTTTCATTTTACCAGCTACAACTAACCACTGAGTTCAGTGCTGGAGAGGATGAATGCACCTGCCAAAGGGGAAACATGGAATGCGGTTCAGAAGGAGTGCTGGCAGGAAAGTACTGGAGAACTACATTCCAGTTGTGCAGATTTATTAACATCAAGTAAAACCTGAAAGGATATTCATGCAAATAAAGTGTTTAATCTTGTGGCCTCCTGTGTGTGAAAGTCTGGAAGATTATATCCAAAGCTTTCCTCATTAAAGGCCCACAGCAATTCTTCACAGAGTTATGGCTTTATAATAACCGGCAAGAGAACGCTGAAGACAAAACTCTGAACAAAAAAAATCAGATGAGTTATATTGGTGTTATGAGGTTTTTGAGGATTTATCCAGGCCTCTATTCATGGTAGCATCACTTCATGAATCTTCAGGTCAAGACAAAGATGACCTGCCTTCTTAGGAAGGAGATAAAACAGGACTCCTCAGATCAACATGAAACATCTTCTGTTGGTATGATTGGTCTCAGTTAACTTTTGTAGCCTAAAACAGCACATACAGTCTAACCCAGTCTTTCAGACTACTCTGTAGTCAAAATAATGAAGCGGGCCTAACCAAAGGGTGACATACCTTGCCTGCCTTAGACCCTTGTATCAGGATAGGTGAAGCATCATCTGGTAGTGCTTTTATATCTTTAATGACTACAGAAAAAATCCTTGATAAATAGTTTAGGATAGATGCTTGTGTCTTAGATGGCTAGCAGTAGATGAGGAGGGCGTCCCGCATGATGCACATGCTTGCTGGTATTCATACAGATTGCAGCTCCTCTGGAAGTGCCCCACAGCCCCACTTCGTATCACGTCAGCTATTCAGTGGGGATGTTGCAGGATACCACCAGTATCTTTCAGATAATTAATATATCTGTCCAGTTATTCTTTTTTTCTTTACTCAGGAAACCATTTCTTACAAACAGGTTTATTTTAAAATATGGAAACAAACTACGTTATTGTTTGTGCAACACAGGGACATTTCATGTATCCTAATTTTTCACATAAATGTATATGTAGTAGACAGCAAGGACTCCAGCTTGCACCGAGTCTTCACTGTGTTTGATGATGAAAGCAGAAATGGGTCTCTGGAGT